GGGAAAGAGGGTTGTTACAACTAACATTATGGATCTATCACACCATAATTTTCATTGAGGGAAAGATGATCCCGGCATGGTTTGATTGATATTTTCTTATTTATTTAACTTCTTCAATAGAAGGATTTAAAGCAATATTTTCTTTTTGTTTCAATTTGCTATTTTTTTTAATAAGAAAAAGAACTTACAAAGTAAAGCCATGAAAGGCCGAAAAGAAGGAAGGAACAAAACCAAAAACAATTTAAATAAGAATAATCTAAGAGGAAAAAAAACCCAAAGTTTTCTCATTTTAAAACCCGTCCTATTGTGAGCATGAAATAATTAAAGAAATATTACATAAGAAATAAAATAGATGATTCTCTTACCCAAAAAAAAAAAAAGTGTATGAAGTACTTGTGACAGTAAAGGTAATTAGATATCAAATTTCAAGCATATATATATGTATGTAGGTATGTATTTATGGTATATACTGCCCGTTAGTGCTGTTTAAAACTTATACGTTTCAAGTGATAATTAACAATTTATTGAAGACAAAAATAAACTAAAATAGCATATCAACATACTTAAGAAATTATTACTTTGCGTTTCTATAATACTAGTTAAGGAGGAACGTGCCTGAGGCGTACGTTCTCCCTAGTAACAAAAATATTCTTTTTTTTTAGTTAGTTTTATTATGATCTTTAAGGTAAATTATTTTTGCTAAGTATTTTTTTTAATTGAGAAGATAGAAAATTTTATATTTTATTTTTTGTATAATTTCTTAGCTAACCTTTAAAGAAAGTGTGCCCAATTGTGCTATAATGTTTTGTGAAAGATAACTGAAATTTATTAATTCTAAAGAAGAAAACCAAAAAAAGAAAAGCAAAAGAACAAAACATCAACAATTATGTTGCTATGAGTACACTAAACATTAGAGTAATGGATGACATATGGTTGAGTTGATTTATTGGTTGAAACTAAAGGTGAAGAAACAAATTGATTGCCAAAAATAATATAAAAACAAAAATACAAATATGTCCTTTAGCTGTAAGTACAAAAAGTAAGAAAGGAGGCATTCCCTCTTCTATATAACTAATAGATAGACTAATAGATATATACATACATATATATATATATATAATAGAGAGAGAGAGAGAGAGTGAGAGGGAGAATATGCATAAGTAGCATACAGCCAATAATTAAAATAAATTTGCACAAGTATGACATGTATTTACATATATAAACATAGATTGAAATTATTAATTTCAAAATAATATAATATTTAAAAAATAAATATATCCATGTATTTTAGAAGTAAAAATATATAAAATGTTGTAAAGGGATGATTCTGGATGTATCGTTATTTTTTTTTATTTTATTGCTTACAATAATTTTCTTGTAAGATACATTTTTTTTTATTAAGATTGCAAGTCTATCATTCAAGTAAAATACATTATTTATCTTATTTAAAACACGAAAACAAAACTTTGGACACATTTGAAAAAAAAAAAAAAAAACTTATTTAGTGACACAATTAGTTAAAAAAGTTATTTTAGGGTCATATTTGTGAAAACACTATTTCAAAGGATTGCAAAAAATAAATATATCAAGTAGTAACATATTTAAGAAAGAAAAAAAGAAATTAATGAGATAATTAAAAACATGTTTCATTAAAATAAGGAAAAAAAAAAAAACTCAAACAAGCAAGTATGCAAGTGTAAAATTTCGTTTTCCTCATTCTCTAATAAAAGGAAAAACAAAACTTTGGACACGTTTGAAAAGGTTTTATTTAGTAGCACAATTAGTTAAAAAAGTTGTTTGAGGGTCATATTTGTGAAAACAACATTCTAAAGGAATGTAAAAAATATAAATTTCAGCAGTAACACATTTAAGGAGGAAGAAAAAAGAAATTAATGAGATAATTAAAAATATAATTCATTACAAAAAAAAAAAATAATAAAGCAAGCAAGTAAGCAATTGTGCAAAATCTCATACCCCTCATTCTCGATTTTACATAAGTTATAGATAGATTTTGGGGGAACTTGATGGTTTAAGAAAAAAATTGAACATAAACCCTGTGAAAGGAATCTAAGACTTAAAAAAAAAAAAAAAAAAACAAAACAAAAAAAAAATCATCTTATAAATTAAACCCTGTGAAAGGAATCTAAAACTTAAAAAAAAAAAAAAAAAAAACAAAACAAAAAAAAAATCATCTTATAAATTTAGGTCTTATAGTCATTTCTGATAGATTGCTCATTTTCTGTTTTACATTTATTTTTTTTTGTTTGTTAGGTCGTTTTTCTTTTATTTTTTTAAGGATTTTTATTTTTTGAATTTGTTGGATATTTCTTTTTCTTGTTAAAAAAACTTTTTTTTTTTTTTTTTTTTTTTTGCTTATTATTACTTTTTAAATACGTATTCATATAGAAGTATATAAAAGTGACACGTGTTACTAATTAGTCGTCATTAGGTATACATATCTTGGAGACTAGCTAGTATTCAATGATATCGTCTTGCTTCCATTATCAAATCGAGATAAAAATGTCAATCCAATGTTGGAAAGTTTTCAGGTAGTTTAGCTTTAACTTTTGTCAAAGTCTCATACGTCAAACATTTGAAACAATTTTTTCTTGAATATTTTTATTGGTTAACCGGTCAGCCATTTGACATCAAGCAAAGAATTAATATAGAAATTATTTTTAGAATTTCATTCAAACTTGAGTTTCTATACTACTACTAATAGCTGAACGTTTTCTAGAGAACTGAATAAATTTTCAAAAGATGCTGCAACCTATAACATTGAGCAAAAAAATAAAAAAATAAAAAAAAGATTTAAGCATAAGATTCCCAAAACTTGGAAAGTGATTGTTAGTATAAAAAGAAAAAGACAGCTCTATACAAATCACAAATTTTTTGATTTATAAATAAAAGTTTTCAATATACTGTTAAGTAAAGTTTTACCAGGATCAATTGTTCATTAACAACTTCATTGTCATTATTTGAAAAATTCTTATGTATATATGGACAAATATTTTTAGAATAAGTTAAGAGGACATTTGACAGTTACTCTCTACCGGTGGTTAACCTCATATTTCCTCACGTCCTCTTTCTTTAATTGATTTGCTTACTGTTTTTTGTTGCCATCATTTTTTTTTTTCCTTGTATACATGTATTTATAGTCATAGTCATAGTCAAACGCGCAAGTAGGCAAACAACGGATCCCACTCACATATTCGCTTTACATTGTTTTTCTTCTTTTTTTTTTTTCTTACTCTAATAATATTACGTCACTTCTTTTAATTGACACGATATAATAATTAATGCGACATAATATGTAATTGATACGATTAATTAAAGTGTCATTATTTTATTTAAACAAAATGAAATGAGACAAAAAAAAAAAAAAAAAGACATGAGAGCCGAACATTCTATACCCATGCGGATATGGATATATATCGAGATACATGCACTTGTGATCATTGTGATTTATATACACATCCAGTTTTATATATCTTTAATTTCAATATGGAATAATATATCTAACAATGGGCACTCATGTACATATTGGCACTAACCAATTTCGATCACATATGGCTAATTATTAATATATATGTAATGATAATATATATATATATATATATATATTTATGGACATAACTAATTATTAATTGGTACGAATTTACTACCGTGGTGTTTGGTAGCGTTTCTTGCCTTCGGAATTTGGTATGGATCCAGCGCGAATGGGAGATGCATTAGAGCCTGGAAGAGTGACATTTGATGAGAAAATGAAAGTGAGGAAAGCAATAGAGGACGCCAATATTCCTTTCACTTATGTCTCTGCCAACTGCTTTGCCGGTTACTTTGCTGGCAATCTCTCTCAAATGCAATCACTAGTTCCCCCAAAGGATAAAGTCCTTATTTATGGTGATGGCAATGCAAAAGGTATAGATCAGAGCCTATTATTACTCATGTTAATTATTTTAAATATTGTTGCAAATTATACTTATATATATATATATATTTTGCACATATAATTTGTTAGATAGTAGATGAATAGTTGGCGAGCAAGCTAACTGGGAATTCTTAATTAAGACATACCAATAGTGTATAGATAAACTCTCCAAATTTCTTTAAAGCGAGTACAATCGGATTTGCATACTATTCAGGATTAGAGAAAATCGTAGAACTTAACTCTTAGAGTGTATGAATCTGAATTTTTATCACTTATTCTTAATTAATACCTTTTTAACTAATATAGTTATTTGACTAAAAAAGATATTAATTAAAAGTAAATAGTAGAATTTCAGATCTATATACTTTAAGGAGTATTTGTCTTTTTTTTCCATGAGTATGATATGATGTTCCATCTAGAATATGCAGATATGATGTTCCATCTAGAATATGCAGCCCACTAGCCTTGATGGTTAACACTTTTTATTAGAACTTTTTTTGAGATGCTTATTTATAAACTACTTTTTTTTTCTATATTTTTTTTTTAACGTTGCGCGCTATATGTGTGTATATATGTACTTAACAGCAATTTTTCTAGACGAAGATGACGTAGCAACATATACAATCAAAACAATCGATGATCCTAGGACGCTGAACAAAACGTTGTATCTTCGGCCACCAGAAAACATACTTTCTCAAAGACAATTGGTTGAAGAGTGGGAAAAAATTGTTGGAAAGAAACTTGGAAAGATTACCATTTCTGAACAAGACTTTCTTGCCTCAATGAAAGGTAAAAAGAAGAAATAATAGCCTTGATTTTCTAAGCCTCCATCCATTTCAAGCCACATATATGCTCCAAAATACTTTTTTTTTTCTATATACATACATACATATGTGTATATATATATATCTTCTGATGAAATTCTTATTTTTCCTTTCTTGAAATTTATTCATGCAGATTTGGGCTATGCGGAGCAAGTAGGAGTGGGACACTTCTATCATCTATTCTACGAAGGTTGTTTGACCAACTTTGATATTAAAGGAGAAGAGGGAGCTGAAGAGGCTTCAAAACTCTATCCAGAGGTCCAGTACACTCGCATGGATCAATACTTGAAAATCTATGCATGAGACTTTTTTTTTTTTTTTGATGCATGAGACTTTAATTAAGTCGATTTCTACAAATGTATGGAGCTTGGTATATTAAAAACAATAATAATAAAGAAAGAAAAGAGCGAAAAGCTTAACATGATAATTACAAAGATGAGATTTATTTTGAAAAACAATTTTTATTGTTTGTTTTCTTTGATCTAGAATTTACAATATTTGTAATTGCATGAGAAATCAGGGCTCAATTATATATATATATATATATATATATTGCACATATTTGTCACAAGTATCTCGAGCTATAGGGAAAAGAACAAATTATGAAATTATAAAATGGCGTTCTAATTAAGAATCGTTAATTAGGTACGTACAGAAAGTAGATAATCATGTCTACAAATTGTGCGAGGAGTTGGACGTTGATTTGTTGGGGTCATTATGGGATACCATGAAATAGATAAGTAGTTAGAAAGAGAATGTATGATAATTATTCCTATGCGTCAAACATTTTAAATAATGTATTATCATTAATTAGTTTGAAATAATCTATGATCATTAGTTTTGTTTTTTTTTCAAAGTCCCATGCGTCAAACATTTGAAATAATTTTTTCTTTAATTCTTTTAAAGGGATTTTTTTTCTATTGGATAACTAGTCAAATATTTGAAATCAAGCAAAGAAATTGCAATTATAAAGCAATTAAAGTACCCCGTCCCGTAGAATTTATAATCTATTTAACAATTGCATTCAAACTTGGGTAATTCTAACATACAACTAACGGCTGAAAGTTTTGGAGTACTAACTAATATTTTCAAACTCCATTGTCATTATCTGAGAAATGCCTATATATGGACAAATATTTTTAGACTAAATTGAGAGGACATTGACAATGACTCTCTGCCGGTAGTTAACCTAATGTTTTCATCGTTCTCTTTCTCTAATTCATTTGTTTACTTTAAATTTTGGTTGCTTTTCCTTAATTTTCTCGCATACATTCTCAATCTTGGAACTGACAAACGGTTCAACGTATCTAGCTCACATATTCACTGATCTGTTCTCTATCATAACATGACAATTTTCTTCCAAAAAAAAAAAAAAAATGACATTTTTTTTCAACTTTCAGAAGATAGAGGATTCAAATTCGTCATCTTATGTTGAGGTAATATGAAATTAAATTGACACGATTAATTAATATTTGAAGAATATAATGAGAACCGAACATTCTATTTCCATGTGGGTACATACCTTGAGATACTTGCACTTGTGATTGTGATCCATTTATACAGATGTCGGGTATTCTATATATTTAATTTCAAAAGCATATATATATATATATATTAAAGTGAGATCAAACCAAATATTTATATCTACCCATGAGCACTCATGTACATGGCACGTCACAATATGTACACGTTAAATTAATGTTCATGGTTACATTTCCTTATACATTAGTTATAAAGTGGCAAAACATACAAAAACTAAGAAAAAAAATGTTGATAACCATCATTAAATTTTAATTAATCCAGAAAATTTTGGGAAATATATTATATAGGACTATTGTCAAAGTGTGATAGATTAGTTGATGACAATCATTAAATTTTATAAATAGACTTATTACCTTAACTATATATTTGGAAACTGTAAAGGAAAAAAAAAAACAAAAAACAAAAGAAGAAGAAAGTAATTATTATGACTCGAATGTTGTACGTAGCGTTTCTTGGCTTGAAAATTTGGTATGGATCCAGCACGAATGGGAGATGCATTAGAGCCTGGAAGAGTGTCATTTGATGAGAAAATGAGAGTGAGGAAAGCAATAGAGGAATCCAAATATTCATTTCACTTATGTCTTGCGAACTGCTTTGCCTGGCAATTTCTCCCAAATGCAATTACTAATAGTAATGAAATTCAAAAAGCTAACATAGAATGTTAAAAAAAGAAATAAAATAAACAAACTAACAAACTTGAAGTATGGGGTGTGAGATAACACATAAGCCATATGGAGAAATCTTGACCATTGCATTTAAAGTAAAAAAAGAATTGTTTAATGTGAATCATTAGATAATAAGTTGAAGTACAAAATCTCATTCACACTATTCTCCCTTCTTATATATCTTATCTTATATGGAGTTTGATATATGAAAATGATGACGATAATGACGACGATGATGACGACGACGATGACGACGATGATGATGACGATGATGATGATGACGACGACGATGACGATGATGACGATGCTGACGATAATGATGATGATGATAATAATAATAATAATAAAATAAAGAAAGACAAAGGGTATGTTTGGTAGTGATTTTTTGAGTCCAAAATCAATTCTCTAGCTATCCACAGCTGAAATTTGTGATTGGTAAAAACTATAAAAAGTGATTCTTAAAGAATTTTTAAAGAATTTACAGTCAAAATCAAAAGCAGCCTAAAAACAACTTGAGCTTTTAGATTGTGCGGCAATCACCTTGAAGTATAATTAATGAAACTTTCATAATACTCATAATACCCCTAGAATCAATACTTGTATAATTATAGTTTACCAAATACTCAGATACTTTTTATAACAGTTGTTTTTTTTCCGGAACAACTAACAACAATTTTTTTAAAAAATCTACAGCACTACTAAACTGGCCTTAAGAATGAGAAGCTTCACATATAATTACAAAGATGACATATATTTTGAGAAATAATTTTTTTTAGTAGATATTGTCTGTCTTCTTTGATCTAGAATTTACAATATTTGCAATTGCATGAGAAATCAGAGTTCAATGTAACCCCATGGCCATGGGTTATATAACAATCTTTTTTCTATAGAAAATTTTATATTGGTACCTTGTGTTTTAATATAATTATCTTTTAGTATTTTGTGTTTTTAAAAATAATTTTAAATTGGTATCTCAAAGTTTTAGGAAATCATTTTTTAGTATCTTAAGGTCATTTTTTGGAATGTAAAATGTCAAAGTTACCTTTCTCATTAATTAACTAAAAATCTAATAATAAATTTAGAAAAATCCTTTAAAATGTTTTATATATTTTTAAACTTAAAAATAAAAATAATGCTTTAAATTAAAAATAATTTTTTAGAGTTTTTTTTTAAATTATTAATTTTTGGTAAAATAATAAGAAGGTTAAATTTGAAATTTTATATCTTAAAACATGATCTTAAAGTACTAAAAATAATTTTTTAAAATATTAAAGTATCAATTTAAAATTATTAAAAGTATGAAGTACAAAATATTAAAAGACAATTATGTTATAATATAGGATACTAATATGAAATTCTCTTTTTTTTTTAATTACTTTTTCGGCCCGTGTTAGGTTTCAGGGGAAAGCCCACTCATATTCAGATTTGATCCTTTTACGTAAAACAAACCGGTTTTTTTTTTTTTTTTTTTTTTTTTTTTTTTTTTCTCATATAAAACGTGGGGTTGAATTGATTTTTTTTTAGGAAGAATGAAATTGAATTTGAAACTAGTTTTTCAAATTCAGACAATAATATTATGATTTCTAAAAACAGAAACACACAATTTTGGAAAATTGAAACTAAGAAATATATTTATGTATTTACTCCTAGACAAATAGGATAGAATTGTAGTAACAAGAGACAAAAACTCAAAAGGATAATTGCATGCATTCCTTTATTTTATGGCCGTTTGGTATATGAATTCAAATCAAAGTTTTTAATTATGACTTTTCAAAATCAAATTTTTTTTTAACAAAAATAACTATAAGAAAACCAAAACTATTAGATGCATTATATCAAAACTCATATATCAAATATCACCTTAAAAATTCTCATATGTATCAATGTTTTGCTGATGCCCCAGCCACTTGCCATATTTTCTTGGCTTGTCCCTCCGTTTTTTTTGACGGAGAAAGATTGAGAAAGAAAATTCTCATTCCTAATGTCTTCTTGTCTTTTCGTTCTCACACTATTTTAGGCAAAACAAAAGAAATGTTATATGGACTGATACGAAAATTGTTTAAATAATGGTATTTAAGCTATAAAGTAAAAGGGTGAATATATATCCTTCCCATCGTTAAATACAAAAGAGATATTCTGTAGCGTTTGGTTTGAGGGTTCTAAAATCAGAATTATGATTCTAGTTTAAATTTTTGTTTGTTTATAAAAAGTAAAAAATGATTATGGTTCAAGGTTTGAAAATCAGTGTTTGGTTTGAATAGTTCTGATTTAAGGTTTGAACCATAATGTGATGTTTTAAATTAGAACTACCATTGATTTTAAAACTACCTCTTCCTTAATTTTAGGTAGTTTAAACCCCTGATTCTTATTTTAATTTCAGAATCATGATCGAACCCAAAACCATAAATTATGGTTATAATTCCAAAACTAAAATCAAAATCACCCTGATTTAAACTCTTATATCAAACGGAGCTTAAAGTCCAATTCATTTTCCTTGAACGTTTAAATTTGTCAATGATAAACAAAACTAGATGATTAAGTCATGTTCTATAATTTTGAACAATAGACTAGACATTTTTAGACGTAAATTCCTACTCTTATAATTATAATGAAGGACAAAAATAAACTAACAACAATTCTCAAAAAAAAATAAAGATAAATAATCTGCCCATAATCAAGTTATCTCAAAATTCAAAGTCGTAGAGAGGGAAAAAAGTTTATAATCCATTATTTTTAAGTAATGGATCTTGTCTCAATAAGATCGTTTCAGTTAAATTCATATGTAAGAAAGAATAACATATCAAAGAAAATAAATATGTCTTAATTAAGAAGCATATCAAAGAAAATACATATGTCTTAATTAAGCAGCATATCAAAGAAAATACATGCACAATAAAGCATTAAAAAAAAGATTTACAGTTTGATATGGTGCGTTTTACCTCAAAGAAAAAGAAAAGCATACAAAAACATATATGTAAGAAAAAAAGTGCATACACGACAAAAAGAGAAAATTTCAATTTAGTACTGTGTGTGTTCTATCGAAATAAGAATTTAGTATCCTGTTTTTTTTTGATAATTTTCTGCGAGTATCTCTAGGTTTTAAAAAATCTTCTTTTGATGGCTTGAGTCTCTTTTTTGGGATGTGGAATGTCACTTCTACCTTTTACTTGCCCAGAATTTATTATTTTTACAAACATTTTAAAAATTTTAAAAAAACCATATAATAAAAAAAACAAATTAAAAAGTCTAAAATCTCTCTCTCTTTCTTCAATTTCTGTGTTCTCTCTCGACAATTTCTCTCTTCTTTCTCTCTTTCGATTGGCAAGACCCAGCCACGACAACACCAGCCTGGCGACCTAGTCCCGAAGACCCCAGCCCCATTGCGCTTAGCCAGGCATCATCGTCTCTTCTCTCTCTGGCGAGCCCAACTGCAGCGACGCAGCCACAAACAAGCCTGACCCCACCCCTGCAAACAAAAGTAACCAAACCTAGAAAAAAATGGCGGAAAATTAAGTGTCGAGGGCCGAGCTGGTAGCTTCGTCGCTGAGCTGGTGGCTCCGACGAAGCTTCTTTGGCGAGAATCAAGGGGAAGCACCTATGGGTTTTGTTCCCTCGTCTTTGAGTCTACAGGGACCAGAATCACTCCGATTAGAGGTCAAAGGACGGAGGGAAGATTTGGGTTTCTCAGCCCCTTTTTCTGACGAGTACACCTTCTTCCAGCGATGATGGCGATGGCACAGTACGGTTCCGAACTCGGCTAGATGAGAGCTTTCCAACGAGTTGGAAGGTATAAAAAACCAATGCCAAATGGGTTACCGGAGTATGTGGCCACGCGCGAGGAAGAAAGAGGGGGGAAGAGAGAGAGAGAGAGAGATGAAAGAGTTTTTTTGGACTTCTTATTTTCTAATATATTTATTATCATTTTAAATCAGATATGAATTCTTCTTTTAAAAGAAATTTATGCCTAATTTATTTCACTGATTCGAGTTTGGATACAGTAAAAAGCTCTAAAAAATAATCAAATTTAACTTTTTTATTACAGTAAAAAACTGTCACATAAAATCACATCTCAACTCGAATTAAAAACTCGATTCAGCGAACTAAACGAGCCCTCAAATTTTATTTTTATAGATTAAAAATTTTAGGCAAATTAAGTAAATGACATCCCAAAAAGGACTCACGGTATCTAAGAAAATATTTTTTAAAACATCGAGATACCCACATGAAATTATTAAAAGTACAAAATAACAAATTCATATTTGGATATAATAAAAGGTACCAAAATAAAATTTTCCAAAAAAATACAATAATATTACAGGAATCCCTCTCTTTTTCTATCAAATTAAAAGATTATTATTACTTTCCATCTAAATTTTAACAGAATTTTAATTGAGAGGCTAAATTTGAGTAATACTTTCTAAAAGGAGGAAAGTTCGGAGATCTCTTATGAATTCAACTCTTTTAAAATTATGTGTAATGTGTATTTAAAAAGAGGGCATAGAAAGTAAAAAGAAGTGCATGAATAGTATTATACGAAATTTAATTAGAAATTATTATAATATTTTGTCCTTATTATTTCATTTTTTTTTTGTAAGTTTTGTTAATTGCTACCCTAATCAAATTGTTTCTTGTTCCGTTTTTCTATTCCTTTTAATTTGATTCCTTTGTTTTGTGTTAATTTATACTATATTTAATCAAAAGAAAAGGAATTTTACATACTATATTTAGAAAGAATTATAGAAACTAGGATAAATTTTATTTTTGCCCTTAAGTTGTGGCCTCTTTATCACTTTATTCTCCGAACTTTAAAAATTTTATGCACACCCCTTGAACTTTGAAACGTTATTAACTTTACCCCTTTCTGTTAATTTTATTAACGGATTTGATGGCATTGCAATTATTGGAGGGACAGTTTAATAGATTATTTTCATAAATGCCATATAAAGTATGTACCATATTTAAAAATACACCTTAATTTATTAAAACATATAAAAATGCCCCCTAACCTATAAAAAAAATGAAAAAATAACGTGGCATGCCATTAAAAGTTAATAAACATATTAAATTCGAATAAAATCAAGAAAAGTGATTAAATATATAAAAATAATATAAAACAATATAAAACACTTGAATTTGAATAAATTAATTTTTTTAAAAATCAAAACAAGAAAAGAGAGATTTTTTTTTTCAAAATAAAATAAATATTGACAAAAGAGGAAGTTGGTTTTTCAAAAAAGAAAAAATTTCCTCTTGACTTTTGGGTTTTTTTATTTTAAAAAAAATATTTGATATTTAATTTTTGAATTTCTTTAAAGTAAAGTGTTTTATATTTTTTATTATTTTATAAATTTAATCACTTTCATTGATTTCATTAGAATTTAATATGTATAATTAATTTTTAATGGCATCAATAAAATTGTTATTTTATTATTATTATTTTTTTGTAAATGAAGAGTCATTTTGATATGTTTTCATAAATCAATGGGCATTTTTAAATAAGGTGCATATTTCAGTACGTTATTAAATTCGTTAATAAACTTTATAGAAGGAGCAAAGTCAATAACATTTCAAAGTTCGGGGGTGCACAGACTAATTTTTAAAGTTCAGGAAGTAAAGTGATAAAGAGACTAAAATTCGGGGGTAAAAATAAAATTTATCCTAGAAACTATTATTACTTTTTGTCACAATAATTAAAAATTTCGTCCTTATGCTCCTTGGCCAGTTGGCCTTGGCATAACCTACCTGTGCATCAATCACATTAATTCTTGATAAGAAGTTAGCAATCACGTGGTTGTTGAAATTCCACAACGTGATGAGGAATATATGCTAGAGTAGCTGCCAACGTATTGGCAACAACTCGAAGAACACCTACTCCTGTTTTCATGCACGACCAAACGTCTTCTCGAGTTACGGGATCCAGCTCCATTTGTTGTATGTAATTTGTTTTTGTAATGACTATGCACATGTTATATAATAGCATTATAACTTAAACAGAAGCGTCCAATAAATAATGCAAAACTCAGTACTCACGTGGTAGTTACAGAGAGAGAGAGGAATTAATTCAAATTTTTATTTAGTTGCATAATTTTTGAACTTAAATTTGAATTTTGGGTTCATTTTAATTCAAAATTAAAGGTTTTATAAAACTTATCTCCCCGGAAGGTTTCTTGAGTTCCAACTCAAAATACTGTGCAATATTAAACTTATATTTTCACTCACATTTTTTAAAATCCCATAGTTATAACAATGTAACAAAACATTAGTTCAAACATTATTCCCTATTAGACCTTACACCGCAGTTTGAACTATAAAAAATTAACATATAAGGCGCGTTTAGAATTCGTTCCAAAATGATTTTGTTTTTTGTATGAAAATGAAAATGAAAACGTTTTTAATTTCAGACAGAAATCATTTTTGAAAATGCATTTAGTAGTTTTATCAAGAGATTGTTTTCAGTGTAAAAACATCCATTAATGTCTCTCTTTCTCTCTCTCTCTCTCTCTGCTCGAGAGAGGAGAAAACGAAAATAAAAAATGAAAAACGACTAAAAGTCATTTTTTATTTCTCTCTCATTTTACACTAAACTAAAAAATCTTTTTATTTCCGTTTTTTGTCTTTATTGCGCCAAACGCTGTTTTGAAAACGTTTTCATTTTTTTCCTCAAAAAACGTGAAAAACATGTTAGGTCCGTTTTTAACCCGGTGTCACAAGTGGTGTTACAACACTGGTTGTGACACTGATGACAGTTAAGTATTTCGAATTGTGTATTCAGTAAATAAATTTGCAGAGACTATGTAGAAAGATAATAATGATGCAGAAACAGTAAAGACACACGAAAATGGTATCGTAGTTCGGTGCGCACACTTACTCTGCGGGGTCACGCCCTGACAGTGAACAATCTACTAAGATAAAGAGAGTACAAACACCAATCGGTCTTACACACTCAAAGACTCCCTCCTTGATGTTGTCACTGCTGTGGAGAATCCTCTTAGTGGCCTTGTCCAGCGAGCACCACTCGTCTTTAAAAAACTTTCTCCCGAAAGCAATACGTTCTTCTCCCGAAAAATCACCTTTTATTTTTTCACTCAACAAGCATCAAAGCAGCCTTTTGCTGCAAAATTTTTCATTCCAAAAGCTCTCACGTTTCTGTAAAAAACTAGCACTTTCACACGTTTTTCAGAAACCAAAACCACACATATGTTCTGCCATATATCCCTTTTCTACAGGTTCTATTTTCCTCCAATAAAAATGTCCACGTGCATCACCCTATGACCCCAAAATACTCACCCCACATAATGCACAAAATCAGCCACCGTATAGCCCTTTTTCCACACATACAACCAAGCTCTAGCCTGCAGATTACAAGCAATGAATTCCCCCTAAAAGTCCACTCTTCATTTTTAGCAATCAAATCCTTTAATTTGCAGTCCATAAACATTACAACAAGACTTTCTTTAAGAGACTCACCTATTTACTGTGCCAGCCAAGCTTACCACTAATTTGCAACCAATTTGCCAAAAATAATTTTCAAACAATTTGCCCAAAAATAAGCCAACATAAAATGCACTAACAAAATAAAAATATGATCAATTCCAAATACGACCTTAATTCTAACCTACATTCGAACCGTAAAGGGAACAAAGCCTATTTATACACATGCAAAGTGTTATTGCTCTTCACTCTTGACCCAACAAAACAACCTAAAACCAATTAGATCCAGCTAGGCATAAGTAACATGGCAAAGAGCAAGGTTCTTGTGGTGGGTGGTACTGGCTACATAGGCCGGAGAATTGTGAAGGCAAGCCTAGAGCAAGGCCACCCAACCTATGTCCTTCAGCGGCCGGAGATCGGACTCGACATCGAGAAAGTGCAAATGCTTCTTTCCTTCAAGAAGGAAGGAGCTCATCTTGTGGAGGGCTCGTTTTCCGATTATAAGAGCCTTGTGGATGCAGTGAAACGGGTTGATGTTGTGATCTGCGCCATGTCGGGAGCACATATGCGGAGTCACAACATTCTGTTCCAGCTCAAGCTTGTGGAAGCTATCAAAGAAGCAGGAAATGTTAAGGTAACTTTTTAAATATTACGATTCTTTTTTTTTTTTTTTTTTCCTTTTTCTTTTCCTTATTCTCTTCTTGTGCCACCATAGCAAGTGCAAAAAAATTATACCTTAAGCTCACATCCCAGTTGAGCTTGACAAATTCCGGAGGAGGGGGAAGCCGCGTCATGTCTCGTCTTCCTCCCATAGGGACCTGATGAACCAGGACTAAGACCCCTGGAATTCCTCTAGTATGCAAAGACAAGGAATTTTACAAACAAGAAGCATGGACCGAAGTTCTCAGTCCAAGGGACGACGTTCCTCCCAAAAATTGTCCAAAACTCAACAATTAACCATGAGGACTTACCACCACCTTGCCCTTGAATCAAGAAACCCTGCCATCACCGTTTTTCGGCCTAAACAACCTCGACCTATTGCCAAATATGCATGCCAATTCCGCCAAAGTGGCCAAGTTGTATATCACGAAACCTCCTAAAACCAAGCCCTACATAACACATCCCACGCCCTTGAGAGCTAAATATGTATGTCGACTTTTTTTTTTTTTTTTTTTTCTTCCAAGTACTATATCGACTTGTTTATATCCCTCCATGACCAGAAGCACCAAATTCAAGAATCCAACAAAATTACTTTGGCAACAAATTAAATGAAATTGTGGACTGTAATTTTATAAGTAGATCATTTCTTAGCTTTACTATTAGATATTTGGAAATTGTAGGAAAGAAAGAAAAAAAAGTAAAAATCGACTCGAATGTTGTTTTTGTAGCGTTTCTTGCCTTCAGAGTTCGGCATGGATGTAGCGCGAATTGCGGGACATGCAATGGAGCCTGGAAGAGTAACATTCGATGAGAAAATGACAGTGAGGAAAGCAATAGAGGACGCCAACATTCCCTTCACTTATATCTCTGCAAACGGATTTGCTGGTTGGTTTGCCTGCAATCTCTCCCAAATGGCACCACTTTTCCCCCCAAAGGACAAAGTCCGTATTTATGGAGATGGCAATGTTAAAGGTACTGAAATATTTTTTTTTCCGGAAAAAAAATACAAATTAACACTGAAAAATAAAACGAAAGCTTTTAGTTACAGCAGAAGTTGTGATTAGAAATGTGAACCTTATGACTGAAAGTAAGTCGCAATTTTTCTTTTTGGTGACTGTTGTGATCACAATGATATATTTAGCATTGTTTCTTACTAGAGTACGTAATGTTATATTGTGTTATCCATTATTAGTTTCAAAAACCATCACTACTGGCGATAAGTTTTGAAATACGTACTCTTATTTTTTTCATGTGATTTTGCATATGCGCGCGCGCGCGTGTGTATATATATATATATATATATATATTCTATTTATGTGTATATTATCCATGCAGCTGTTTTTGTGGAGGAATATGACGTAGCAACATACACAATCAAAACAATAGATGATCCTCGTACTTTGAACAAAACCCTGTACATTCGGCCACCGGAAAACATTCTAACTCAACGACAATTAGTTGAGAAGTGGGAAAAATTAGCTGGAAAGGAACTAGAAAAGATCTTCATCTCGGAAGAAGACTTCCTTGCCTCCATGAAAGGTAAATTTAAAAGGAAAGGCAATAATCTTAAAGGCAACCTCTTCATTTTAAAGTACAAATTTGTTAGAGAAAATTATACTATTACACTCTAAACTATTCATTTTTTACATATGACATCCAAAATTTTTAATTTTGACAAATTGCATTCTAAATTTTTAAATAATTAAATAACAATCGATCAAGTGTAATAGTTGACGGACGTTATCAAATTAATGATTCAGGATACAAGATTCGCGTGTGATCTAGTTTAAAAATTGGCAAAGTTTGTCTTTCATGAGCGAATCCATGTCTCAAACCTCAATTTGACGATGCCATCGGCTTATATTGGACCTAAGTTACTACTGATTTTAAACTTAATGACTCAATTCCTCAAAATCAAAAGCTTAGGGAGTATTATGAGAAAAAAAAAAAAAAGGATATGTGGGTACAATTTATAACTCAATTTGTGAAACTAACCTAGTTTAGAATACTATTAATTTTTCTTCCAAATGTTTTAAGGCGTTTTGCTTTTCTCCTGACTATGCAGATTTGGATTTCATAATGCAAGTTGGAGTGTCACACTTTTACCATATTTTCTACGAAGGTTTTATGACCAACTTTGAGATAGGAGAGGAAGGAGAAGAAGCTTCAGATCTTTATCCAGAAGTCAAATATACCCGGATGGAAGAGTACATGAAAAATATATCTGTGTGATCATCAGAATAATATTCCCTAGAAAGTTGCCATGGGGAGGATGATGCAATTAATAAATAATTTTAAGGCCAGTTTTATTTCCATGTTCAGGAATAATATGTGTTCGGAAGGGCATTTAAATGTTAGTGACAAATGTTTGTTGAAGTTTGATTCTTTTACGAGAATCGGAGAAAAATCCAATGACGAAAAGCGAGTTGCCTTTATTTTATAATAAAATAAAATAGAATTGATGTCATGTGCACTGTTTAACTAAACTTGTTCGATTAATTTCAAGCCACTTGTTCTTAGTATATACAGAGACAGGGAAGTGGGAATAATTTATCTGTTCAATACTGATAATATTCTGAATTCCCTTCGTACCAGAGAAAAAATTGAACAAAGTCTTTTTACACACTTTTTTTTTTTTTTTTTTTTTTTTTTAAATATCATGACGCACTAACATGGTCGTAAAGTTCGCTGAGATTTTGATTTTTTGAAAGTCCTGAAATTTTTTCCACCACAAAATCAGTTTTTGTATAATATCAGAAAAATATCAAAAATATTGCTAAAAATATCTATGAAAATATCGATGTCAAAATATTGGTAAAAATATATGTAAAAATATCAATATCAGGGTATGCATATAGTGAAATTTGGGTAAAAATATTTCGGAAAGTTTCAAAAAGTTTTGGAAATAGAAATATCAGTCTTTTAAAGTTTTTTTTTTTAATTTTTTTTATTGTATCATATACATTAACAAATCTATACGTGACATGCTCATAACTGTATTCACCAGTGTCACGGTACTAATATTATTTGAATTAAGATGAAATTTCAAACCTCATGTGAGTCTTATAAAACTTCATTTTGATATTGAAAAATCTAATATATATGAATTTTTTATGTAAAATTTATTTATTTATGTATATTTTTAATGTTTATTCTATCATAAAATATTAGAAGTATGTTCTGATATAAGTTTTCATAATTTTTATAATTTTTTCTTATATTTCCATCAATATCAGTATTTTCTCTGATATTTTCGTAAACTTAGAGTATCGATTTTCTTACTAATACCATTATTTTCATCCTTGCACATTAGCTTTTAGCTACCGATCATTGTGCCATCTATGAAAGTTAGTATATATTTAGGGCATGTTTAAGACTTGTAAATAAAAGTACTAAGAAATTGATAATAGATCAAAAAATATGATAACGTGATAAGAATAATTGTTGATCATTCATTTTTGATAATGTTGACTTGATAAACACTCCTTAAAAGTGCATGTCTTATTTTTATCTATTACTCTTCATTACTACTATTTTTAGTTAAATAACTATATTAACAAAATGGTATTAACTAAGAGTAGGGGTAAAAGTAGTAAATTCAACAATTTTCTCTAAATTTAATTTTTATCTAATTAGAAATAATCCAATTTTCTTTCTAATGTTTACTAACTTATAAATAGGAAGCTTACCAATATAATTACTAAATTTCATTTTACACACGAATAATTATTGGCCGGCGTCTAACATTGTCGGAACTAATTGATTCATGGTCCCTTTATTTATTTATATTATTATTTTTTTCTGAGGTTATTTCATTAGCGAATGCTTGTTCTTCGTTGTCTTTCGTTTTCATTTCTACAAAAGTTAAGAGCGCTGCTGTTGCTTGCTGTAACTGGGCGACAAATGTTGCTATCTCGCACCATGATCCTTTGAGGGTGGGTTTTCAATAAAAGTCTTTATTCAGCCAACCAAACAAAAAAAAAAAAAAAATTTGGTATTCATTTTCTTTAAGAAGGAATCTATACGAAGGGAACTTGTCATTCTTTTTTCTTACTTTCTATATTGTGTGGGATGCACCAAAATTCGTACCATTAATTTTGTGTAAATAAATTATAAACAATGATCAGATAGAATCAAAAGCATTTCCAAAAAAAAAAAAATAAATAAATAAATAAATAAAAGATAGAATCAAAAGGAAATCAAACATCGTACGCTCTTCAATTAAAGGATAGCACATCTGCAACTTCTTGAGCAAAAATTCGAGGATTTCTTTAATTTTCTTTTCACTAAGAATATGGTAAAGTAACGCTAACAGAACATACAAAGATTTTTTTTATTAAGCTGTTATATATATATGGGAATTTTTCTAATATCACATAGTGTCATTTTCTGACCATTAGATTAAATTAAAATTACATTAGACTAAAAAAACAAACATAATAGCTGATTTTTGATACAAATCTAACAGTTGAAAATAGAGAATTATTGGTAGTTTTATTTTTTTAGTCTACTAGAGAAGCTCTCATTCTTAATATGTATAATTATGTCAATGATTTGACTAATTGGATTTGGTAGACATATATATATTTTTTGATATGTTAAATATGCATGACTTGTTCAATTGACAAATGAAGAGACATATTTATCTTCCAACAAGATGATTATTCTGATTGACATTGAGACATATTCATTTTATTCAACCAAAAATGAGCAACATATTGAAAACAAAATGTTAATTAGATATAACTTAGACCAAGAAAATAATAATAATAATAATAATATGCACCTATAAGGTAAATAATGGTCATCAAAATCTTCTATGATCTCCTGTATGAAAGCATTTTGGGTTCCAAATCAAGTCCACGTGCACTAACAAAATCAAACCCACCTTTGGTATTCAAGTCAAAGTGTATGGTTTCTTTGAGCTTAGTATCTTCATCAGTTTTTTCTCTGTTTCCCTCTTGGTAAATGTTGAAACTTGTATCACTCTCTTTTCTATAAACACCATTCATCTCAATTATGCCACTCTTTTGATCTACTTCATTCATGTTCTCCATGAAGTTTGATAGGGCCGAATTGAAGTCTGTCAATTGGGCTTTGGCTACCTCTAGATTACCCGGCCCATTCATGTCAAGGGTCAGGCTGTTTTGGGCCTTTTCTAGTATGGCCTGCAAGTACTTCCCTTGGGCTTCTATTCTCATTTGCAGTTTCTTCTGAACCTGCTGGCATAAATGATAGTTTTAAAAATAGCCTACCTAGCACTTGAAGTTGGGGCATAACACAGAAATCAGACCCAAGACTTTAATACAAAACAAGTAAATGAATTTGGATTAATTTTTTTTTTTAGCACTGAAAATGTTTATGAAAAAACTGATTTTGATTATTTTATTTACTGTCAATATCACATTGATTCAGTATTAAACAAATCATCATTATGCATACTGTAAATACAATAATAATTTGGTAATTGCAAAAGTTACTAATTAGCGTTTTATCGATGAAATTCATTTTAAAAAAAAAGTTTCTATGTAAAAGGTTAAGTCCATGAATTATTGTCAGAGTAATTTTGTAATTTATAGTTTGTCAATTTTTTTTTTTTGAATTATTACCCCTGGTGCTCTATGAATTTTGAGGTCATTCCCAATTTGCCCTTAAATTATAAGAACTCTCACTTTGCCTACTTAAAATTTGAAATTAGTCCCGTTTAAGCCATTTTGTAACAATTTTTGTTAAAATCAAATCCGGAAAAAGGGATTAAGTGTGGTTATGTATTTTTTATATGTTGCTTTTAACATATATTTAAACAGAAAGACTATATACCTGTATTACTCTTCTTTTTTTTATCTATATTTAACAAAAATCTTAATAAAATGGGTTAAGTGAGAAGAATTTAAAATTCAATAGACAAAATAAGAGTTTTTAAAATTCAGATAATAAATTAAGAGTGACTTTAAAGTTTAGAGAAACCCGATGATAATAATTCTTTTTTTTCCTTGCTATTACAAATTCGGTCTTATCTTCAAACTGTAAATGCTCGTTAATTTTCGTATATCTCTTTAAGTCGAATTATATGCTTACCACTGGTGGCCAAGCACTGCCAAAACAACTAAGTACACAAACACGCACATATATAAATATAGTAATTATATCTAAACAATATTATACCTCAAGCTGCTCTTGTAATCTTTTCTGTACGTCAATCTGAAGCCTTAGCGCCTCTGCGATTGGGATTTCACTGATGTATTATAGCACTATAATTAGTGTCACGAATTTGGCAGAAAAATATGAGAAAGAAGAAAAATAAAATTCGTTTTACTTATGAGAATTAGCTAAAAAAAATCTCAACAGCGGGGCTTTCGGTATGGTCAAAACCCTACTTTTATATTATTTACTCTCAAAAACTATATATACTTTTATATTATTTACTCTCAAAAACTATATATATATATATATATATATATATTTTGTATTCTTGGTTGAGTATGTGATATGTAGAACCCTTCAAGAACAGTGTCGTTTCTCTTCGATGTCCTTAGTGAAGACGTAATTGTAGATTTGTAAGATCAAGTTGCTCATACATATGAAGTTGGGAGGTTTGGAAATTTGAAAAGACAAAAATGAAAACAAAACATCAATACCATAATGTTTGGCAAAAGATTTGGTCAAAAGACCGGTCCTATATATAATATGTTTATATGTATATATATATTTTGTGATATTGAATTTATCCTATATAACAAATGATTTTTTTATTATTTTAAAAAGAATAACAACAAGAAACTTATTTGTACCACGCGTTTTCAAGTCATTTACTAATAAATGGACAAATGTTTTGCTACAGTTTTACTTCAACATGCTATAACTATAATATGTAAGACTGATTACAGACAAAACCGATGGCCAGCAAATGACTTGTGAACAGAAAAAGAAAAGCAATAAATGTTACTTAGTTTAAAACAGAGAATTTCTTAAGAATCCTATGGAAACTTTTGCCAAGTTTTAGAGCTACCACAAGAAAGTCCAAGGTATAGCAATAAATGTTCGGATGAACAGTTTTTTTTTTGTTTTTTTTTGTTTTTTTTAAATTAAAAGAAAAAAAATCCAAAAATGAGAAAAATCGATTTCACCTACCTGTGTTCTTTATTATCACCTCTTGATGAAGTTGTACTAGTAGTCCCTGAGGAATGATTGACGAATTGTGCATATGAACAACCTGCAATTAAGAAGTAGAATTCCTGTCTCAAGATTTAATGAGAAAAAAGAAAAATAATTTTATTTCGTTTTATTATTATTATTTTTACTTAAATGAGAAAGTGGGCTCTCACCACTACTCTCCTTGCTATGTTCAGCAGAATTCTGTCTCCGCACCTGTTGTCCGAGTCTATACTTCTGCAAATTCCAAAATTTGATCACTTTTTTTTTTTTCTCAGAAGATGACTAATTTGTGTTCAATTTAAAAGAAGAAAAACTTCCAATTACAAAAGAAAGACACAAAATAAATACCTGTAAATGGCTTTTCAAATGGTACAATGTCAAGCCCTTCAAGCCCATTAACCTCAGCACAGACTTTGGAGTTGCTTCTGAAAGCATAAATCAAATTTGGACGATAAACACATGCAATTGAAGAAAACACTAATTAATAAATATTTTTTTTCCTCTTTTTTTTTTTTTTTTTTTTTTTTTTTTTTTTTTCCTTTTTTTTTTTTTTTTTTTTTTTTTTTTTTCCTTCAATGCATTATAATTGCGTTGTGCCAGTTATTAACTTAGATAAAAGTTCCCCAGATAAAAATAAACAACATCAAATTATATAAGTGAGCATTCATAAATCCAAACAACACAAAAATCTCCTTTCTCAAAAAAAAAAAAAAAAACCGGAAGAGACATAAAATAATTGAACGTACTGTCAGGGCCACCAAGTTTAGTAACGGCGTCAACAAAGCGGTCGTGAAGATCAGCCGTCCATCTCAGCCTGGGTTTTGGGTCTCTCGTCATTACAATCCCATTTTCGTACTCGAAATTCCTCTCCATCATTATTAGAGCCACGAAAAAAAAAAAAAGAAAACAACCAGACTTTCTCACCAGCCAAACAGAACTGATCCACAACTTATACTCTTAAACGCTTTCTAAAGCTATCGAATTCGGATTAGATTCTTCTGGGAAGAAAGAATTCAGCTTTTAAAAAAAAAAAAAAAAATTGGGTTCTTGCTTTTCCAAAGGGTCCCCAAAGCTACAGGAATAACAAAATTTCAGATTCCCCGCAAGGAAAAAAAAATTTTGTTCAAGTCATTTTGACTTTATTTAGCGACAAGATTCATGAATTATATATATACACACACAAACACACATTTTGTATTATATATTTCTTTTACGAACATGAAGAGGAATCCTCGGCGACGAATCTGAAGCAAAAGCATGATGGGAACAGAAATGAGTGAGCGTCGGATTGCGGGACTTTTGACTTTTTGTGAGATGATCGACGGCGGAGAAGAGAGGGGTGACACGTGGATGCCAGCGTGGAATATTCGCCGGCGAACAAGGGGGTGGGGAATATTCGAGGAGTCACGAGGCGGGAGTATAAAGACAATAGAACTTAGAAGAGGGCATGTGGGATGGGAAGAAAAGGAAGAGGAAAGTGGGACCGGGGATGGGAGTGGGGTCCAGCTAAACGGGGACGCGTTTCGGTGTCTCCGCGAGCGACGGGAGGCTTGGAGGTGACCGAAGAATATTCGTTTCCTTCTGCCGGTGGAAAACTAGTGGGCCTGCCATCATGACTTCCCTTTGTTCTTTTCCGGTTTTTGTTTTTGGTTCTGCTTGGAAGTTAATCAATCCTCATGTAATGGTGAATATATTGTCCATTGTTTGTGTGAAATTTTGGAAGAACGCTATAAAAAAACCACCTTACATTTGGACCATAAAGTTAAATTAGTTAAAGCTTAAATCAAAGGTCAACAAAACGTGATATGAATATGAACTACAAAGAAGTTGTAACATGAATTCAATAACATATAAAATAATGGTATGCCACCTAAATAGATATGTCAATCTTATTACCGTTACATAATCGGTTTAATTTATGCGTGTTTCGTAACGTGTCTTATTTAGTCCGTTAAAATTTTATACTGTGCTCATATCCGTTTAAGAATAATCAGAGGCCCAAGCACATATATGCCTGTACTTTTTACTAAATTATCAAACGAATTATTTAATTATGTTTATGTATATATATGTATATATTTTAATTCTTGAAAAATATGTACCATTAACTAATTAGTATAAAGCTATATAATAGTAATGAAAACAATTGAATTCATCGCGTATAAATCAATCAATTATGCTTAATGAGTCGTACCGTGCTCCTATTGTGCTTATCATTGTATCATGTTGTGTTAAACTCACATACTTAAAATTATGGGTCTAACACAACTGACTATCTCGTGTCGTACTTAGTATGGCTCGTCAATATCTCATGTCATGACGTATCCGGTCCAAAATTGTTCGTATTTGTCAAGGGGGTTCAACCCAATTAAAACTGGTTCATGTACTAATACACAAGAGTATGTGCAAAAATGATTCTTTTTAAAATGCGTTTTTACTAAATGTATCTGGTATTGTTAAATTAATTGAAAAAGATAAATCATTAATTTATTTTGCCTTAAATCATTGGTTAACTTGGTGGTAAAATATTAATGAATTTTTGTTAATTACCGGTTAACATTGGTGAAATCAACATTAGTGATTTACCACCAATATAAATAAATCCGATTTACCACTAATATCAATTTATTTATTTATTTTATCTTTATTTCGTCTTTAAGTTCCAATCAGTGTCCCTCCGACCGCTCGCCCTTGCCCCTTGTCGTAGCCGAGCCACCCTTGTAGACGCTGTAGATCTCACATAAAAATTTGAGCTTGCAACCAACAAGATTTCATTGAACTTAAATGTAGTTGCATGTTATAGTGATATTTGTGACTAAACTATATAAAACTAGAAACTTATGTATTTAAAAAGTTTATCATATCTTAGTAGTAAAATTGTTTTCTCTATGTACTGGATGTCACTAAAATTTAGTTTTGATTCTTTTTCTTTTTTGCAAGTTTCAATTTTAGCAAAAATAAAGAAAAAGCAAACTATATTAATATTCAAATTGTAATAAATGAGGCTATTCGTAGACGACACAAAACATTAACCGCTTACATTAGATCCCAAAGAATAAACTCACAAGTACAAATTGTAGAAAAGGAATATAAAAAAAAAATCCTAGGAGATGACTTTAATGTATATTTATAACTATAGACCAATGATCACGATAAAAGTTAAATTGGATTCTCATGATTATGTCTTCTCTCTTAAGTGAAATAATCATGATCAATCATCAAACTCAAAGACCGGCAGTACTCATTGAGAAAATCCAGATTTCTCCTTCCCTCATTTTGTTTTTTTAGCTCGCTTTTTGATTGGGTCCTTAAAGGACAACCTAAGGGCTAAGTCTACAGGCCAAATTGAAGACTTGAATAAAGAATATTTTCTCGAATCAAGCATCCATATTGTGGAAACCAAATCAAAGTTTCATGGAGATTCCTTTCACTTCTCCATTGGATAATTCGAAATTTCGATGGGAACTAATGCTTATTTTTTTTAGTTTCCACGCATGTAAAATATGTGCATATATTTTGTCATCTTTAAATATTCCATAAGATTTTATAGAGAAGCTTTACGGAGCATCCTCCATTTGTTTACCCACTGGTGTAGCATATATTTTTAATTGTTGGATTAAAATTTTAACGGTAAGATTTGTACATGTCCGTATTAAAAAGTTGCGCAACACATAAATGTTCTTGTTGCAAATCTGATCATTAAATAATTAATTTACGGTAAAAACACTTGCTCCATTGGTGGGTCACAATTTTGAGATTTACAGAAAAGAAAGCTGATTTTATATTGTGGGAAATATTCTCTGCAATGAATCCGTCTAAAATCTTTTAGAGCATTTATTAATTAAACTCTAAGCTTTCTAAAAGCATGGTATTTGAAATTTGAACCTCTGGTTGATTTTATATGAATTACCGAAGTTTGTTGTATTGTTAGAAAACTGCCTTGAATCCGTTTTAGAAATACAAGGGACAAATATTGGCATATTCTATACAAAATCTGACTTCAATTTGTTTAGGGCTTCGAAAGTGGACACTATAAACTTTCCAAAGAATTATAGATGTTGATATCGAATTGGATTTATAGTTGAATTTATTATGGGTTTTAAACGTTGGCTACATTGCTGAAAAATCTGGTGTTCTGTAGTATTTGGCAGAAAAGTCTAAAAATGTTTCGTGATAAAATTTAAAAATGTAATTTAAAGATAATCTAAATAATTACCTAAACCGGTTTATTGAATTTATTTATCCATAAATAAGAACCTAAAAATCTTACAATTAGTCGTGAATATTTTGTTATCTGCACTCTACAGTTTGACTATGTCTAAAATAAGATATAAGTTTCTACACTGATTTTTCTCACTTGAGGCAGCTCTAAAGGAGAATAAACTAAAAGTACTTAGGACAATCACGGAGATAAGTGATTTTTTTTTTTAAATTTTCTGCTAAATAGAATTATCTTAACAGAGAAAATACGATGAAAACACAAAATACAAACCAACATAAATTAAGTTCCTCATAAAACTAGCTCCAAATACAAACAGCACAACTGTGAGGGTCATGTGGAGTTAGAGTGGACTTCTCTGTCTCCTATGCCCTTTATTCCTCTAAAAAAAAATTTTTTTTTTTTTTTTTTTTTTTTTTTTTTTTTTTTTTGGCATACCACATGGGAGGTAAACAGGAATAAGTGTGACAAACACAAATATAGAGAAAAATATTATTAGAGCACTAATACTAGCGCACAAGCATTATTTTAATTATTATATTTTTGAAACTCATAGTTTTGTCGCACACGCAGCTCCTAGCTAGCTGCTAGCGACGGAAGCTCATGACCTGGGTCGTCGGAGTTGGTGGCTCGGAGAGTTTGACGGCTGCGTAGGTAGTTGCCCCGACTAGAGCACCCAGTGTCGGTGCCACAAAATATATCCACAACTTCGTGTAGTTCCCAGCAGCAATGGCTGGTCCAAGTGTGCGCACGGGATTCATCGAGCCACCACTAGATGGCCTGCACAGTTTAAATTTCCTTGTTAAAACCTAATCACCATTTTGTATTGTGTGTCTATATATATATATATATATTTGCTAATAAAAACAACTAGTGTTCTCACACTCTTGTCCAATAATCACTTGACAATCTAATAAGACAATATGGTGGAACAGAAAGAAACCATAGTTTAATTAGTAACTGTAGAGTTTCAAAATAAATAAGCCTAAACAATATTTGGCAGGGCGTTAATAGGCATAATTTCAGCCTCACAACGAACAATAAGAATCGATACGTGAATGATAGGTGAGAGACCACTAATAGATAATCTTTTATCGCTCAAAGAAATCAAACTCATGCTTTTGTCAATTAGCAACTGGAGAGTCTAACAATAAATAAGCCTAAACTATATCTAGCAGGTCCGTAAGAAACATAATTTCAGCTTTACAAATGGACAATGGAAACCGATACATGAATGGTAGATGAGAGACCACTAATAAACCCTCTTTGATCGCTATGCCGCCAGTCCACCACCACCGGTGATCCATTTTGCATTATGTCACATGAGGCCACTTAATTATTAAGGTGAATTTATATTAATACACTAATATTGTTAGAAATCCAAACTGTCGTACTAATTTTTAATGTTAACAACTGCGGACATTTAAATAACCGAATAACCATTTATTTATCAAGTCAATTGATATCAAAAGTTGGTACAATAATTAGAATACTTGGAAGCTCTTCTATATTATTTTATTATGAAACTGTGTAATAGATATATAAATAACAATAAGTTTATATGAGAATGATCTATATGTGACCAATTTTTATGTATAGGTCAAAGAAGGTTCTAAAAAACTATAAGATAACCTTGGAATGAAAAAAAAAAAAAAAAAAAAGGGTAATTGGAAATGCTCTTTACATGATATAATTAGAAGGGATCAATATAGGATTATTATATATGGAAGATGCGGAAAAACTTAAAATTAAATATAACTAACCCTGCTATAAGAATGTTGAGCATCACGGTAGCTCCGACTGCTATGCCAGCCAACTCTCCCACCTGTCTCCAATTAATTAGGAAATATAAATTAATCTAAAGAAAGATGGATAACAAAAAATAAAAATAAAAAAAAAGTCGACAGTGACCATCAAATTTTTATTGGATTAATTCCTCATTAATTTGGTGTTTAAAAAACGTGTGTGCACTACTTGAGTTGCAACAAATTCCAAGATATACGTCAAATTTGAAAAATTACAATTTGATCTTAAATTTTAAAAACGTTTTCAGAAACACCCTTATCCTTGCAACACAGCGTTGAATTAAACTAAAACTTAATCTTATCCTTTTCTATGCACTCCAATCAGTTGAAAAAAAAAAAAAAAGAAAAAAACTTAATACATACCGCACGTGTGTCAGTGGCAACTGCAGTGACAACGAACAAGAGATTAAAAGTGATAATAAACTCAAGAGCGAAAGCCTGGGCAGTGTCCACAGAAGGAACCGTAACACCACCGGACAAGAAGGGATGGAAAGCTCCTTTAAGGGCAAAAGAGGCACAAATGGAACCCGCGACCTGAGCCGCTATGTAAGCCGGCACTTGGACCCACGGGAAGTGGCGCAGCGCCGCGAAAGCGATGGTGAGCGACGGGTTGAGATGCGCACCAGAGATGTGGCCCGTCGACAGAATCACTACCATGACTGCCAGCCCCGCACATGCTGCATTGCCTATCAATGTCTCTGCATGGTCGTACTTCTCGTTCACTATTGGACCCGCTGTTGCCGCGAATATCAGTATGAATGTCCCAATAAACTCTGCTCCAATCTGGTTAATTATTGTTTTTGTATGAAATATGAATATTGTTAGTTTTTTATGCCATAGTCGTGTGTATTTCTATTAATTAATTGTCGTTGTTCTTGATTGTGGTTATAATATTTGTACTTATTTTTCAAAGAATAATATGTAATTAGGCTTATTCCATTGTTGAGGAGGAAATGAAATCACAGAAGAATTAGTGAGAAACTTATGCACACTTGATTTATTTGATTTTGTTTGTCAACATTACATATCAGTTATAAATAACGATTGATGACATATTAAATCACTCTCCTGCTTTTCAATTGTCTAAGGTACGGTATAGTAATTAAAATAATTAAGGCTTTGTTTATTTAATATTTTTAAAAAATTATTGAGATAATGACTCAAACCTCCCATAATGTGTTTAATCCAAATGTCAAGTATTCTATTTTAAAAAGGACTAATTACGCGGCTGCCTCCCGAATTATGGCTTTGTCACAAAATGTCCCCTAAACTTTAATTCTTTGTCACAAAATGTCCCCTAAACTTTAATTTTAGTTTTTTTTCACCTAAACTTCAGTAATTTTTACAAAATTTATCTCTTTATTAAATTTACTTCAGTTATTACTATTGGCTGTCATTTACGAACCTCCAAAGGTCCCTGGGTCAATCAAATTAAAGACAAAGTTAGGTATAGTAATTAAAAAAAGATAACTCTTGCTGCGTAATTACACTTTTATGTGGATTGCATGAGGAGGAGCTAACAAAATAATTGTTTATTAAATTATTCAGACGACACTCATTATTTGTGTAATACATATTATTTATATTAAAAATCTTAACTGAAGTAGTTCTTTTGTTAATTTTTACATTTTACATGACATTTTCCATCAAGAATTTAACGAGGGAGAAAATTTATAAGAACAATTGAAGTTCAGGGAGAAAAAAGCTAAAACTATAGTTCGAGAAGCATTTTGCGACAAGCCCTATAGTTTAGAAGGCAACCATGTAATTTGCCTAAATGCTGAGATTATCCCTTGTGTTTTTCTAGTCAGACAAAATTAACCATTCCATGTGTTTTCTAATCACAAGAATCATCCCTAATATAAATGAACCATTCCAAAACATCAAAATTGATTATTATCATGTGCAAGAAAAATTGAAGATCAAAGTTACTATCTTTGGAATTTCTCTCCCAAAGTACCATCATCATTGTATGAAAGATAACTATGTCTTTTTGTACAACTAATTTTGTCTAAATCTGACCTCGGTGTCGATTTTATGTGCTTATGAAAGCACGTATGCCGTATGCGTGGACTTTTTTATCGAATAAAATACTCATGGGATAACTCAACATTATTTAAAACACATGGTATTCTTGCATTTTGATAAAATTAACACAAGAAAAAGATCTTTCTATAATCGAAAAATTATTTATTTATAATAGTTATTTTAGTACTATTAATGATTCATTGAAAAGACAAATGGCATAAGAAAGGCCTAATAAATTTCAAGTGTAGCTATTAAATTTTATTTCTGAACCGGGTACTCTTGCCATTTTATAAACAACTAATAATGATATTTTGGATGCAAAGACAAACAGTTTTTAACGTGTTTATACATAGTTTTCTAAGGGTAAAGTTTTAAATTCAAAAATTTGTTTATTTATTAATTTTTTTTTTACACTTCAATGCCTGAGCCCTGAGGGAAGGAAATCGTAAGCAAATGAGAATGACTGTTGACTAATATAATTTCTGAGAATATAAGGTCGTTTAGAAACAAAAAGGAAAAAAAAAAAAAAAAAAAGCACAATCAAAATTCGGGACTAGGATATTTATGTACTTCTCATTATATATAATAAATAGGGATGACAGTTCATTTTCTTTTGTTGCTTCTAAGCTGTCTTTTGTTTTCAACCTTTTGTGAAATTGTTTTTACTTTTCAATACCGATATATTTTACAAGATCACAATAATATTGTTTTGCAGGACATTATACATGTTTTCTGATACAAAATTGCTTTTGTTTTCCACCTTTTGTGAAATTGTTTTTACTTTTCAATACCGATATATTTTACAAGATCACAATAATATTGTTTTGCAGGACATTACACATGTTTGATGATACAAAATTGCTTTGTTTTTCCTTTTCTTACGCGGATGAAGCCTATTTTTTTGGTATTTTTTTTTTATTCCCCGCAATGTGATTTTTTGGTGGTTGTGTCCTGGTCCATGCATCTCTACCTGCTCACATCTTCTTCGTCTTTTTCTTCTTTTTTTTTTCTTTTTATTTTTCTTTTTTTGTAATTATTTGACTGGCATTTGATTTTATATATATTTTTTTATTATTTTGTTTAATTTTTGGCCTAAGGACTGACTGAGGTTAAATGCTTAACCGCTCTATGAGTCAGGACCACTGCCATCATAATATAGCAATTATGTTAACATGACGTCTGTCTTGGTTTCTTCTCCAATATTTTGTTTTGTTAGGCCGTTTTTGTTATAGTCTTTTTACTTTTCTATTTAGAATTTTTTTTTTACTGGTGTCTTTTAAATTTTAAATTTATTTACATTTTATTTTTTAAAATTAAAAAATTCTTATTTTATTTTTTAAATTTATCTCATTTAAATTCTTTTATAAAATTTTTTGTTAAAATCAGATGAAAAAAAGGGTTAAATATAACCGTATAATTTTTATCTATTTATTTTTAATATACATTTGAATAAAAAGATTACATGTCTATAATATCTTTTTTTTATATATGTTTTTAACGTAATTTATAATAAAATGAATTAAGCGAAAATAATTTAAAATTTATAGGGTAAGTAAGAGTTTTTAAAATTCAGTGAGACAAATTAAGAGTGACTCAAAAGTTTTATTTTTTCTTTTTAAAGGGGCCAATGATAATAATTCTTTTTATTTTTTCTTCTTATTCATGTTTAGTTAAGGCGGTGAGAATAAAACACGTCCCACTTTCTCTAGGCTTATGCAAACAAATCCAACAGAACGAAACTCTATTTATTATTATATTTGGCTTTATTATAACAAAAGCTGCAAAAACAAATTGGTTAAAACTACAGATGTATTATACAATCCAAATTTCAACCGTAAAATAATGAAAAAAAAATCATTAATTTAAAAAAAAAAACTATGGATCAATTTTTTATGATAAAAATGTGGGAAAACGAGTCTTCCCTTCATCTTTTAAAATTTTGACTTTTGAACCAAAATTTTAATTCCGCCCGTATTTTACAAAAAAAAAAGAAAGATATATATTATAATTGTGTCTTGTTTACTAATTCAAATATCTTATTTTATCTACGTTTAATAAAGTTATCTCTAGTTCTAGTGATCTCACTAAAAAAAAAAAAAAAAAAAAAAAAAAAACTTTTGGCTTGCGTGCAATACATTTTTTTTCTTTCAAAATAAGGATATAACTTCTTCCCAAACAAAAATGAATAGCCAACTAAAGATGAGAGAGAACTACTCGTTTTTATCAAACAACATAGCAGTTGAGCAAACGCAAATAATTTTTTTAGGACGTAGGAGTGAGAAGACAAAGAAGTAGTAAGTATAATAATTACCAAAAAAAAAAAAAGAAAGAGTTGTAGAGCAAGTACCTTGCGGGCGAGGGACACGTCAGTAGGGGCAGGAAAATCAGTGAAGCATGTGTGAGGTTGGGCCCACCCAGGTGCACTAACAGGCAAGCATTTGCATCTCGGCATTGACTTCCGTTCGCGATCATACGACAATGAATCCACTCTCAACGACGGGAACAGTGGCGCCGGCGTCCCCGGCGTGGTCGGCACCGACGCCGATGGCGTTCCTGGCTCGGATTCCGCCATGATCATGAAATTACCACTCCGATTTTTTTTTTTTTTTTTTTTTTTTTTTTTTTTTTTTTTTTAAGGATGAGCTAAATATTGATGGATAAAATAATAACCTTGGATAGGAAAATATTACATGGTTTGGTGATTTTTATAAAGGTTGTGCTAAAGGAGAGACACTTTAATCTTGGCCACGACTTAGGGCTCTAATGAGGATATATAATCAAGAAGATTGTACTTTTCCTATATAACTTTTTTTTTTTTTTTTTGGTTTATGGGATATCTGAAGTTGGAGGAAGGAAGTTACATGATTTGAGGATTTTTATAAATGTGTTTCTAAGGAATAGGAGAAATTTTGTTGGCCAGATTAATGACGCAGGTAAATAATTTTCTTAGACACTACTCTTCATGGAAAAGATAAATATCTGTTGTTTTTTTTTTTTTTTTTTTTTTTTTTTTTTTTTTTTTTTTTTGGAAAAGTGGATGAATATTTGGGATGGTAGAAGAATGCAAATCTACATGCTTGGGATGCTTTTTTAAAGTTAAGGCTAAGGAATTCTACAGAAAGTCGACGGATCCAGTTTTCACGACGATGAAGAAGATGAGGAGAATGGATAGACAATCAAGATCATAAAAAAGAAAAAAATTTGTCAAAAAGAGATTTTTGTTTTTTGTTTTTTGTTTTTTTTTGCAAAGCAACACAAAAACAAGAAGAAGAAGAAGAAGAAGAAGAAAAGTGGTGTTCAGCAGGAGAAGGAAATTGGTAATAGAAAAGACTGATGATCAGAGAGAGGACGAGTACTATACTAAATAATAAGGCAGAAGGTGTGTGTGTATATATATATATATATGTATGTATGTATGTATGTATGTATGTATGTATGTATGTAAATATATTAATTGAAGTAGATGGCTAAACGCAACAGTATTATATTACATATGTATTGAAATGTAAGACTTTATAATGCAAAAAGAAGTCATCCAATCCAACCGCGCGCATATTAAAATATACACACGACGTTATTATGAAGGAACAATGTATAATGTATCTAAAAGTCAATGCTCAAATACCATCATTTTAATAGCTTTTCAGTTTGTGCATAATATATATAATATGAGTAGTGGTAGGACATGTATTCTAATTTTATTTTGGTCAACTATGTCATCGTGAAGTGTTATATTTTTCACTAAAAGTCGATTCTTATCATTAACCGACGAGATAATTTACTATAGTTGATGCGGCCTCTAATTATTAACTGACGAGATAATTTTTTGAACACCTGTTAAATACTTAAATGTTAATAAAAGAATGATAACTCATATGTTAATGAAAGAACGATAACTCATACTCATGATAATTCATACTATAAAATTGGAATTAGAGCAAGTGTTTCTCGATTATTATTTATATAATATAAGACTAGAATCCCTGCTCCACCTATATAGTACCGACTGATCACAGCCGATTAGCTTCCCATAAAGCTTGCGTAATCCGTAGAAGGCATGATTGGGTCGTAATTTTGTTTATTTAATATTATGGTAACATGGTATAAAGGACATCTCTTAGGACGAAAGCTTAGGTAGCTTGTTTCCACATGCTTTGTGACGCTACAAACTCTCATCTACGGTTATGATTAATTAAAATAATCAAGATAATATTAAGATGTATAATAATTCCACTACCCACCCAATCATCTATTTTATTGATTAAAAGAATTATACCTTTCAACTTTCCAAACAATATTTCTACTAATTTAATCATATTCCATTGAATTTTTTTATTCCATCTAGCCTCACGTTTCCAAGGTACAACTATTCCTATCATCAATTTGTCCCTTGCCTATGTTTACTGGCTAATTTGTATGCGGATTATTTTGATAAATTAATGAGTTAACCTCAATAGAGCTTCACTGTACACACACACACACACACACATATATATATATATATAATATTCCTAAACTAACTGATCATTTTATAACATAATATAATGTAATTAATATAAATTTTCTTTTTCTTTCTTTTGGATTTTTTTTTTCTTTTTGTTGTCCGAAAGTTTAATTCAGATGGGTTGATCAATAAATTAATTGGCGAACATGCGTGTTGAGTGTTTCCGATGTTCATAGCATGGATGAAAATGAGTTAATACCATTAATTAATAATAATAATAATAATAATTATTATTATTATTATTATTATTTTTTTTTTTTTGCTGTTTCTCTAAAGAGTTTAGTTGTCCCGGCAATATTGGATCTATTGTTTTCTCACAAGTGGAGGAATATGCTGGAGAGACAGCTTACCAAGTTTTCCACCGTCATTCTATCTATAACCTAGTGATCTTGATATGTTGATTGGGCATCCTTTGCTGCCCAAAGTGATCAATCTTTGGTCTCTGATTTTTGGAATAATTTAGTTTATGAATTTATTAGTTTTAATAGTTTTGATATCTAATTATAAAATTAATGGTGTGATTTTTGAAATTTAGCTAAAATAATTATCTGGACAAACATAAGTTGATATATATATATATATATGCATATATGTGTATAAGAATTGCCTTAAGTCCGACACCTGGACCTTGGTCAATCATGTGCAACTTTTTTCATACGTCCGTATGACATCTGCTTTACTGTAATATTTAATAAATATAGTCCAATAATACATATAATATTAAGTGTTATACCAGCATAAAAAACAGGGTTTCATGTAAAAACGGATAATGTTACACGTACATATAAAAAAAATTAGAGACTGTATAATCGCCGGGCTTAAAACTTATATATAAATATATTTATTGTGATCACATAATCTGCTTAGTTCAAGAATATCTAGAAATCTTAGGAATATTTATATTATAATATTTAAATCGGTTAATTTTACTTAGGACTGACAATCTGGGTAGCGACACGACGACACGACTCGAAACCCGTACGAAATTAGCGGGTTTGAGTTTAACATAAATAGGTCCGGGTCAAAATCAGGTCGAACCCGTGAAACACGATTAAATAACATGTCATTTTCAGGTTGACCCGCCAACCCGCAATTGACCCGCTATAACCCGTTTATTAAACGTGTCATATTTAGGTAACACGATTATACAACCCGTTTATTACCTAGGTTAAACAAAAAAGTTTTACTATTTGTTATTCTCTTCTCTAATCTTCCAGCTGCCGCCGCCCAAGTCCAACATAATTTCCAAACCGTTTTTCTCTTGGTCTCTCTCTCTCTACTCTCTCGGTCTCTCACAGAGACTCTCTCCTCCTTCAACTTCCACTCTCTCTTAACTCTCCTCTCCGCCGCCTGAGCTCTTAGTCCACCGGAGGACCACCGTTTCTCTCAGTCCAAACCCACCACTTTCTCAGTCCAGACCTACCGCTTTTCTTCTTCTTCTTTCCTCTCTGCCCCATTCTCTCTGGACTCTCCACTATCTTCGTCAGATTCGACCTTGGGGAGGCAGGGGAACAGATTTGGTCCCTATTCTTCTCACTCTTTGTCAGAATCAGCCTTGTGGAACAGATTCTTTGCTTGGGGAACGGATTTGGTGTTGTTCTTTGCCAGGTTTTCCCCTCTCCGCCCCATTTTTTTATTTGTTATTTTATCTGTATTCACTTTGAGATTGATGGCACGTTATTTGTTCTTAGACTCCATTATGGCATTATATTGATATTAACCTAAACCGGTATTTCGATGGAATTTGTTTATTTGATTATTGTTAAAGCTTGAGAAGATAAATAATTGTGATTGTGTTCGGTTTTTGTGTTCCAATGGTTCGCTGAAGAACCCTACTTTGTTTTTTTTCCTCTTCATTTGTTACCGGAAAAATTGTCTCCAAATGGAACCATGGCGTATCCCCATGTTCTTTAGTTTTCATTCCTTTTGATTATGAGTTATCTGCTTTGCTTTTTCCTTTCTTTCTCTTTTCCTTTTTTGAGAAAGAGCTTTTCAGTTTTCTTATTACTTTATCTTCTGATTGTCTAATATTGTTCTCAATTTTTATTTGGTTCATGTGTTGTTGGCTTTGGCTTCTCGGTCATTTTGGTCCACATTAAAGAAAGGGAGGACTTTCTCTCTGATTGTCTATGGTTTTAGTATCCTGGCTAACATGCCTTTGTGTGTATGTGATGTTTGGTGCTCAAACTTTAACTTATGCTTGTTATGGTCGGGCAATTCCGAAAGACTTTAGCTTATGCTTCAGATGTAGAGTTCCCTTTTCCCAAATTAATGATTATTATGATGTTCCGCCGTCCCTTCGTTCAAGACCCGCTATTGCTAGAACTCCTCCATCCGGTTTGTGAATGCTATGATCAATTGGTGAATGTCTATTGAAATATAGAACATATAATTATTTAAACTCCATTTATTTTATTGTTGCACAGCTAGAACAAGAGTTATGATCTCTCTTTAAACCTTTTGCTATTTCGTAAGAGTTATTCTTGAAATAAATAAACACCATCATGTTATTTTATGATCTCTCCTTAAAAAAAATAATGTTCTCTTTGTCATCTAATTATATGATTTTCTGGTCCTGTAAAGTAGAGACTCTGACATACTATTTTTCTGCCTAAAATTCTCATTAGATACTCTGTTCATTACAATTAAACTAATGTTAACTAATGTTTTATTTTGTGCAGATTAATTTAACACAATGGAAATTGATCTTGAGTCCATTGAGTCTCAAAGTGTGGATGTTGAGGTTGAAGAGATTAATGGATTGAGTTTGAATAACAAAACTCAAGGCGATCAACTCCAGAGAAGAAAAAGGAAGCTGACCTCAAAAGTTTGGAGTCACTTTGTTCATCTTCCTTTAGGTCCGGACAAGAAATTGAAGGCCAAGTGCAAACATTGTAGCTATGTGTACCTCACGGATAGCAAGTACGGAACTGATAATCTGAAACGCCATCTTGTGAATTGTCTGAAAACCTCCTACCATAATATAGGGCAGATGCTCATTGCCCAAGAAGCTAGTGTAGTGACACTTAGTGGAGGTAAGTATGATCCCAAAAATTTCCGTGAGTTGGTTGTAGTAGCTATAATCATGCATGATCTACTTTCTAGTTTTGTTGAATATGCGGGAATAAGGTCTCTATTTCAATACTTGCATCCTCAAATTCAATTGGTCTCTAGAAATACTACAAAGGCTGATGCTTTAAAGTTTTACAAAAAGGAAATGTCACAAATTAAACGCATGTTAGAGGCTACTCCAGGTAGAATTAGCTTTACTTCTAATGCATGGAGTTCTTTGACTAGTGATGGATATGTTTGTCTCACTGCACATTTCATAGATAAGAATTGGAACTTACAAAAAAGAGTGTTAAACTTTAGTTTTATGCCACCCCCACATAGTGGCGTTGCTTTGTCTGAAAAACTTTATGGTTTTTTGAGTGATTGGGGAATTGAGAACAAGATGCTTAGTATGACACTAGATAATGCTTCTGCAAATGGTGT